CTGCATGGCCCTGCTTCTGTCACTGACCATGGTGTCACTGGCAGCTGCTGAGACAAACCTGATGTCAGAGCTCTGCCGTGTACTTGAAACAGTCTGTCATATGACTCTGGAGATAGGAAGGTCTGAACTCCAGATGTGCTGTCTCTTTGTGACCCTGAAAGCAGCGCATTCCTGGAGATCCCTTCAGTGGTGCGCAGTCCTTTCTTTTCAGTGTCTTCCTAGAAGTGCTGTCTCGTGTCTTCTCCCTTCTTCAGAGGACCACAACTCCACCTGGTGCCACAAAACATTGCAGTGGGAAAATCACCATTCTCCCCCTGCTGGAAAAACAGCAGAGGGCAGACAACTGTCTAATGAATGCCTGGTTCATGGTCGGTGCCCAGTAAACACTTAAGCGGTGTGTGAAAACAAGATTTGGTTTGGTGGTAGAAGCACAGATTTTTGCTTATAGACAATCACACAAAGGATGTTTATATGGGATAGACTACATTCAACCTCTTCCTGGTTGGAGTATTCTATTTGCTGGTGGTCTAGTGGGTTTTTTTTTTTTTTTTTTTTTTTTTTGTAACCATATCTATTCTGTCCACTCCTGCCCGTCTCAGTGCATATACTACTAGGCTGACAAATTAATTACATCACATTCTGGATCAGTAACCAGAACTTATGTCTCCGAGGCAAACTTGAATTTGACCTCCAGGTTTCTACGAAATGTATTATATTTCAAGATTTATTCTTAAACTGTTCTTTATTTCCTGATTAAAATATTTCTGTCTTTGAAATAAGTCATTGACAAGATGTTCGTTAGGACTTTCTTCAGCTGCAAGCAAGAGAAACCCTAGGTGACTATAGTTGACAACACACGGATTCATCACCCACCTGGGAGGCAGGAAATGGGTGGAGCCTGGGGCTTCCTACACTGGGTGATGCTCTGGGGAACTGACTCTTCTTTCCTGCTCTACCATCCTTAGCATGGGACCTTTGTCCTCATGCTCACACCAGGACTTTGACCCTGACTCAGCAGTCCACGGGGAAGGACATAGGGCTGAGAGCAAGAAGTCTCTTTCTGAGACCTTTCCCATTCATTATAGAAGTGGAACCACTTACTGTGACTCCTGCTAAGTGCAAGGCCGGGAGGCACTGCCTTGTCTCTTTGTCTCTGCAGTCAACACAAGCTGGTCTATAGCTACATCAGATGTTGACTGTAATCCATATATGTTGTCATGCCTCCAAAGGCACAAGGTTTTATGTTGGTATGATTTGTATTTAAATTATGAGCAGTATTTCTGCTCACTAGTTTGCCACTAATATGGTCTTCAAATGTTACTTAAGAGCCTACTGTGCACTAGGCATTAACTGGTTGAGTGTGTCTGCCCTTATTATGAAGCTTTGTTTTCCTGGAGGAGAGAAATTTGAGATAAGCATAGGAAAGAACACAGTGGTTGGTGGGAGGGCTCCAGAGACTACAGAGGAGGTGGCAGGATGCTGTGCTTGGGTGTGGTTTCAGTGAGGAGCTACTGAAGAAATTCACTGGGAAGATGGTGTGTGAGCAGACAACCAGAGCCTATGAGGAATGTTCCAGGTTTGAGACCCAGTTTGCTGGGCAGAAAGGGGCTTAACCTAGCTAACCATAGCACTTTAAACAGCCCTGTGAGTATAGTAGATCAAAGAAGAGAGGAGCAGAATAGGAAACAGTGTGTGCTCTTTTCTCTATTCCGGGCAGTTTTAAGGACTTTCATTTACTATTGCTCCTGGTAGAGTGGTACACAGTGCTGTGGTCTCACTTGCATTGTGCTAGGACCTATGGCCGCTGTGCTGGATTCAGTGACAAAGAGGTCATCACTGTATCCCAGGGCTATGCTTATTTGGGTGGAGGTTTAAAAATAAAGTCAGGTTTTGGTTCTATTTCAAAGGGACAGACGATACAGTTTGATCATGAGTCAAATGCAGAGCATGAGAGAATGACAGCCGTCGTGGACTCAAGTTGGTTTTGGCAACTGGCAGGACATCATTGTCAAGCAAGACCAGTAAGAATTATAGGTAGAGCAGATGTACAAAGGAATACCAAAGTGTAGGAGTCAAAGAGAGTACAAAATACATTATTTCTGAGTTCAGGGAGAAGTCCTGGCTAGAACAGTGAATTTGGGAATTTTGTTCAAAGTGATGAGAATATATGAGACCCCAAGTGAAAAGAATGTTGGCCCAGGACATCGCAGGTATTTAGAGACTGAGCTGGTCAGCTTTCTGACACTAAAGTGTGGCGATGGACAACTCAGTAAAGACAGGGCTTATTGGACTCAGTGTTAGAAGTTTAAGTCTGTGATGAGATGAACCTGTTGTTTTGGGGCCTGTTGTGAAGGTACTGGAATTCTAGGAACAGGTGCTGGAGTAAAATGGCTCATGCCAAGGCCAGGAAGTGAGAAGAGAGGAAAAAGTCCAGGATCCCACAACCCCTTTCAAGGGCACATCCTAATGACATAAACGCCCCCCTCTTGCCCCCACCTCTTATGAGATTCTTCTCCTATGCCAGGCTTGGTTGTGCTTACCTTTACTCACAATACTTGGGAGGCAGAAGCGGGTAGTTCTCTGACTTCAAGGCCAGCCTGACCTGTGTAGCAATTTTAGGCCAACTAGGGCTACATAGTGAGACTTTGTCTCAAACAAACAGAAGTCTACCTCCTCTCAGTCTAACACACCTGAGGACCAAGCCTTGAAGAACAGGTTTTGCAGGGGGGGTGCGGGGGGGGGGTCACGTAAGGGCTAAGCAAGCATTTGAGAGACTGACGACATACCACAGAAGTCAGTTTAAGAAAATGCTCCTAAGGCTGGAGAGATGGCTAGACAATTAGAAACAGGACCAGAGTTCGAATTCAGTACCCACTGGTGTCTCATAACCATGTATAACTCCAGTTCCAGGGGGATTTGAAACCCTCTTCTAAAATATGCAGGCACCAAATGCACGTAGTCAGGTGGTACACGTACATACATATGTTCAGGCTGGACACTCATACATTTACAATATAATAAAAAAAAACAAGTATTCCTATTGTATTGACTTTCTTGTTGAATCTGCCCAATGTGTTACTTGTGTCTCCTTTCAACTTAATATTTATCTCTCTTTCACAGAATGAGGAGAAACCTGTGCAAATGATGTCTAAGAAGTCTACCTTCAAAATGACCTATATTGGAGAGATATTCACCAAGATTCTGTTGCTTCCCTATGCTGGCAATGAGCTGAACATGATCATCATGCTTCCAGATGAGCACGTTGATCTGAAAACGGTAATGATCATGAGACCTTGATGGAACTGTGAGGGAGAAAGAGTGGCATTTGTGTTTCTGCAAGGGTGGCTTCCTAGGCTCCCATGATCATGTTTTTATCTTCCATTCATTTGTGAGGCAGGGGTGGAACTCAGAGCCTGGAGCCTGCTTGACAAACACTCACCACCGAGCTGAATCCTAGCCCCTCCCAGCTACTTTAATAACTTAAAGCCACGCATCCCTGGGCAGTGTAGACCCTCCCCATCGTCTCAAGTGCCCCGGGTGACAACGTTGTCCTAAAGTGTCCACCTCTCTTCTAGGTGGAAAAGGAAATAACTTATGAGAAGTTCATAGAGTGGACGAGGCTGGACAAGATGCAAGAACAAAAGGTGGAGGTTTTCCTCCCACGGTTTAAACTGGAGGAGAATTATGACATGAAGGACTTCCTGTTCAAGCTGGGCATGACGGATGCCTTTGAGGACAGGGCAGACTTTTCTGGAATATCTTCCAAGCAAGGCTTGTTTCTGTCAAAGGTTGTGCATAAGTCCTTTGTGGAGGTCAATGAGGAGGGCACAGAGGCTGCGGCTGCTACACATGTCAACAAGACAAAGAGGTCACTCAGTGTCACCCCTCGTTTCTGTGCCGACCGCCCCTTCCTTTTCTTCATTCAGCATGTTAAGACCAATGGGATTCTGTTCTGTGGCCGGTTCTCCTCTCCCTGAGGATAAGGTGTTCCTGTCAGTCTTTTATCCTTTCTCCATGGTTTGTCTGCGACCTAAGTGACCTTATCCATAAGTGCAATGACAATTTTGAAATAAAGTGCATTCTACATCCCAAGGATTTTTCTATGATCTGAAACTGCGTTTCTGGGGGTTGTGGTGTTGCTAGCTACAGAGTTCACCCTGCTGGAGGACGCTGTGGCTGCCAACACAGGCAGCTGTGTGTCCCCTGTGACATGAGAAGAGAAACAGTGCTTCTTTTGGTAGCATTGGGTTCTTATTCCACTGT